CCTTAAATCACTTCTCAGAAAGTCCTGAGACACCAGCTCCCTGTGCTGTGGCATTGTGGGGCAGCCCTAGTCACCAGCACTCCCCAAGAGGGCAAGCCCCAGCCCCCGAATGGGCTTCAAGTGGCACTTGACCAAGGACTTGCCGCCTGAGGATGGAAGTCAGGACTCTTGAGGCCTTTGCCGCATGCCCTTGGGTCATGAAAGCCAGCGCCCCTTTCCAGGCTGGCACGGGGGGAAGGGCTCCAGCTGCCCAGCACTGGGCCAACACCAAGAGTCTCATCACCAGCTACCGGCTGGAGCCGCTGGGTGGCGCTCTCAGCACACGGCAGAGCCCACCGCTCTCAGCGCACGCCAGAGCCCAGGCATGCAGCCCGAGCGGCCGCTTCCTTTGGCAACAGGAAAACCCAGCAAAGCAGGAGTGAAACTTGCCCCCGAAGGCTGGTGTCTCGTTGCCCAGGGCTCTGGCACGGTTCCCTCCATCCCTAGGGAGCACCAGGTGCGGCGGAGCAGGCCCTTCCTCCCTTTGTCCACATGCAGCAGGTACAAGGCTCTAAGCACCTGCAGTCCTCTGGTGGCTAGGTGCAGGCACCGAGGAGGGTGTTTCTCCTGGGCACAGGAGGCCTAAGGGTGAGGCTCAGGAGAAGCAATGGCCTTGGTTGGGACAGGTTTATGGGCATCAGCATCAGCCAGAGAAACAGGTCTGGAGGAGGCAGCTGAGAGAGCCTGTGTCTCCCCAGGGACCCTTCTTCCTTGCAACCCCATTACTGAGTCCCTCACCTGCGTGGGCTGGCTGGTGGTCCTCTGTGGCCGGTGGCTGGCATGGTTGGCTGTCCAGGGCCCCAGGGACTGGCTGGCGTAGAAATCCATGGGGTAAGTCTGCTGCCACTCGATTTCCTTCAGTGCCACGGCAGCCTGGCCAGGTGCAAAGTTGTGTCACCACCACAAAGGAACCAGCGGTCTCCATAGGGGGTAGCACAGAGAAGCGACCAGTGCGCCAGGGGGCTCCTACTGCTCCGAACAGGCACTTTAACAACTCAGGAAAATGGCACTCTGATCAGCGTCTGCAGCCTGGCACTAACAGCGCTGTGCAGCGCGGGGTCCCTGGACTGTGTAGTAAAGCGTGACAGAGCGGGTGGGGGCGCACAGGACACCAGGCCTGCAGCGCTCTGCGTGTGGCCTACAGACGCCTGCGCAAGGTGGAGCGACTGGCCCTGAGAACTACAAACGGGTCCATAAATCTTCCCAAAAAGAACGGGCTGGTGGCCCCTTCGTCCTGTTGCTCCAGCAGGGGAGGCCCACTCCCAGCCAGGCTCAAAGCTCCCAGAGTCTGTCTCCCTCTTGGGTTGCCTGCATGGGGCCGGGAGAACGGCACTAGGGGAGCTCGGGGCTGGCCAGGCTGGAGGTGCAGCTGATTCTGCTGTAGAGCAAGCTCAGCCAGCAGAATGTCTGTTCCAGGCCCCAAGCCTTGTGCACTGGGGTTCTCTCCTGGCAGGCAGTCCTGGGGTTCGGGGCAAGTCCCCACCCTGCCTCAGCCAAGGGCTGCAGGGGGCGTCTTACCTCGTAGGGTGTGAGCAGCGGCTTGCTGAAGGCTCCTCCCCAGTCGATGGACAGCCGGGGACAAGCCACCTGCACCCAGCTGGAAGGGAAGGACAGGGGCTCCATCACCCAGCTAGTTCAGGCCTGTTCCACCACCTCCTGGGCAGGGCTTGCACCACCAGGGGAGACTTGCTCATTCGCCCCCTGGGATTCCAGGGGCTAGGAACAGTGCAGGAGGCTGGGGCCAATGGGCAGCGCCTTGCTGGCACTGGGGACTGGCACAACATGGCTTTTCCCCAGCGAGTGCCCTAAGGTGGGCAAATCCCCAGTGCGCGTGGGGTGGGGGGACAGGCTGCGTGCGCTGGAGGGGCCTTACCATGCGCCCAGTAGCAGCAAAGCTGGAGCCTCTGGGGGCTTTCTGGCCACCTCCATATCCGAGGTGTCGCTGCAGGGGCTCGGCTGGGCAGGGCAGGGGGAAGAGGGGCTTGGCAGACACGAGGGGAGCTCGGAAGCTGCAGAGGCCACAGAGCAAGTCCGCCCTACGCAAAGACCAGCCCCCCAGCCGTGACACGGCCCCAAGAGCTGCCCCTCAGCGAAGCAGCTACTAGCGCTTGGTGCTTGGGGTGTTTATTGCGGCTTGGCCTGGGCTGCATCCCGTCGCCAGGGCTCTGTCCTGCCGCCGTCATGCCCAGCCGAGCGGACGCGCGGCACCGAGCAGCCTGGCACTCAGGGTGGAACAGGCAGGGCTAGGAGACGTCTCCCCCCAAGCACGGGAGGGGGGGCATGGCCTGGGGCCACCCAAACCACCCGTGCCAAGGCAGATTCACAGGCAGCGGTGCTCTGCTCTGGGGGCCCACATCCCCGAGGAAGGGCCCGTGCGGGCGGCTGGTGGGCTCTGCAGACGCTTGCCTGGGAGAGGACAGGAGGGGGCGCCCTGGAGAAAAGCTGGGCTGGGAAGGATGCCCTGGGGGGACGAGCGAGTGCAGAACCGGGCCTCCAAGGCACAGCGAGTGGGGAGGGGCTCGTGGCCACAGGAACCCCCAGGGCTCTCCCCTTTCACCACGGGATCCTGGAGCTGGGCCACCCACTCGAGCTCCCTGGTGGCCCCCCTCAAATCCCAAGGGCATCGCCTGGGGTCCCATGCCAGGCCGCTTGCCTGGAGCCGAGCCTCCTGCTGCCAGGAACCAGAGCATTCCTGTGGGGCCTGTGCGCACTCCTGCTGGGGGGGAGGGGTGCTGGCCCATTGGGGGCCCCCATATTGCTCAGGGCCCAGAGCCACCACTTGGCCTGCCTGTGCCTACGGCTGCTCTGCTGGCACCTGCTGCTAGGTGTGTCCCTGGGAGCGGGGACACCAGCCAGTGAGGCTCCTCCACCCCCCCAGAGCGGAGCCAACAGCCTCGGGGCTCCAGCGCCCTAACCGTGTCCCCGTGACCCGCCATCCACCCCCGCCCCGGGGCGCACAGGGCCTTGGGGGGGACACAAATTAAGCCCAGGCCCAGGCGCCCAGAGGGCACCTGCCTCTAGCTCCCAAAGCCTCAGGCCGCCCGGGCTCAGCGGAGGCCACCCACAGCCCCGTGCAGAGAACTGAGCGCAAAGCACAGCGGAGGGCAGAACGGGCCTTGCCTGGCGAAGGCAGGTGCGGGGGGCTGGGCTATTCTCCTCAGGGGAGGAGCCAGGCGAGGGCTGGGGGCTGAGCAGGGAAGGGAGCGAAGTCTCGCCTGGACAACCTGGGGCAGGGCTGTGGGAGGCAGCCAGGTGGGCCCAGGGACGGGCCGATGGAGGCAGAGCCAGGCCCACACTCACGCGTCCACGTCGGGGAAAAGCTGCAGCTTGCTGGGGAAGATCTCGGAGAGCAGCACCCTGACGAACGGGAGGCCCAGGCCTTGGAGCCGCACCTCCAGGTGCTGTGGGGAAGGAGACACGGGAGCGTTAGCAGAGCCCCAGCCTGGCCGGGGCGCTTGGAACCCCCCACGGCAGTGCCCTGGGAAGGGGGCTCCAGCTTCCCCTGCGCCTGGCCGGAGCAGAGGGCTCTGACAAGCGGGGGGCTGCCCAGGACAGCCGGACATGGCCCCAGGGACACGGGGGGCAGGCAATGCTGGGTGGCATGGAAAGGCCCCGTCTCTGCAGCCCGAGAGCCACCGGGGACAGGCCCAGCAAGCAGGGGCTGGCACCATCCGCCTGGAGCCCCAAGCAGCAGCAGCAGGACAAGCTCCCCCATCCCTGCCCCTCCCAGCCGCTCTGCCACTGGCAGCTGTGGCTAATGAAGTAATTACTGCTCAACTACAACAATCTGTGCTCGTTAGCGGCAGCCTTGGCCTGAGCTGGCAGCAGCAGGGCCAGCTGGCTCCATCCTTCCCAGCTCAGCCGTGCTGGTTGTCCTGCCTGCCAGCCGCCCGCCCTGCCCCGCG